GATTGAAATCTGAAATCAAATTTGGTTTAGTGAAGAAAATTAATGAAAAAATGATTTAGATAAGACTGAGAAAACAGGGGATGTCCAATTATAAAAAATACAATTTTAGTTTACGAACTTTTGTTGTTTTAATTTTTTTTGTTAGTTAACTAATTAGGNAAAGAAAATTCATTTTTTTTCCCAATTTAGTTCAATATTTTTTAGAGGGGGAGGGGTAAATTTTGCAAATTACATGTTAGTGTCAATTTCATCCAATGTTTGCTTGGAGAACATCAACTTGAAACTCTTGACTTAATTAATTTATCCAACATGTTAATAATTAGTCTTCATCAACTTTGATGGGCATGCAATTTTTATCAACCATTTGTTCAAACTCAGTGAATGATCCTTAATTACTTTTGTTTGTCTTCTTTTATCAACAAACTCATGATTGGATATAAAAAGTTTTTGTTTTGATTGGATTTTTAGTTGGGGTTGGTTAAATTTGAAAAAGTTGGTATGGTTAGTTGTTAGTGGGTATATTAAAATAATATTTAAAATAAAATGATTAAAATTAAATTGATGTAAAAGTAGGAGAGAGAAGATGTGATGTGATGGTTAGTTAAAATTATGTGAGTTGATGAATAGTGAATTAAGGTTGATGTTGTGTGTAAGAATGATTGATTCATATTATTTAATTATATTGATAATATTGATGATAGTGAGGTTGAGTTAGAGTTGAGTTAAAAAAAATGGTTGAGTTAAAAATAATTGAAATTTTTTTGGTTGGATTTATATCCAATCATCATGTTAAAATTTTGTATTCGTAATCAACAAAAATTGTAATATAACATTTTTTATTTTTCTTTTAAACGAAATTGACATAAAATGAAAGTTAGTGTACTCAATTGCAACCATAAGGTTGCTAGATAAAATAATAATAATAATAATAAAGGGCTTCATTATACAGACTAATTCAAACGTTAATATTTATTAAGAAAATAACTAAGTACACCTAAACTTAGTTTGTAGAAAGTGATGATTATTTTTATACCATATATATTAATTAAAAACATTTAATATAAGCTCAAACATCTTAATTTAGCTATATATATATATATATAGTATTTAAATATATGACGTGTTATACTTATACCTTATCTATATACAGAAACTTGCAATTTTTTTTCCCAATAAGCTCAACCAGATTCCTTCTAAGTGTCGTCACTTTCATGTAGCTCCAACTTAATTTTATGTAATCTTCTGTATCATGAGCATTATTACAATAAATTTACAACACAACAATATCATTTAAACCCCAAAAAACCACCCCATATATAAATTAACATGGGCCTTAAAG